GGTTATTAGATGTCGTGGTCTTGTCCGTCCAATGCCATTCCTGGATGACTCTGATGTATCTTCAAATGTTTTTTTATGTATTTTCCAGAGATTTGCTCCCTTCGTCTAAAGCAGATCATTAGATGGCGTGGTTTTGTTCGTCTAGTGCCATTCCTGGATGACTCTGATGTATCTTCAAATGTTTTTTGATGTATTTTCTAGAGAGTTTCTCCCTTCGTCTAAAGCAGGTTATTAGATGCCGCGGTCTTGTCCGTCCACTGCCATTCCTGGATGACTCTGATGCATCTTCAAATTTTTTTTGATGTATTTTCCATATATTTTATCGCCTCATTTAATGCCATTATTGGATGTCGCCACTTACCTTTTCAGAATGTATCTCTCTCTTTGTTGTAGAGGTAGAAATTTTGAGACTAAGTCATTGGATTGACTTAACTCGCACAGATCAAATAAAAATCTCCACCGCGCTTTATTGTTTCAGGAGGAAATGGAAAAAGAGCAAATAAACCCAAAAGAGAGGGGGAGAGAATCTAGGTACAGGGGTTGGTTATGAAAAAGAAAGGTATTAGCACCCTAAATATCTACGGTACTCCGCAGAAACCTCTTTGAACATTTATGTATTTTGATTATAAAAGGAGTATACAAAGATAGATGGTGGAGATGGGAAAAGAAATAATTTTTAAAAAATTTCACCTACCTTGGTTGCGAACCTTTAGTGCCTACGTACCACCTTCCGTGCAATGGGGATCAGGGTACTCGTAGTTCACCTTAAAATTTTTGAAACACAAGTGAGTTGGTTAATTTTAAGAGAAGAGATGTCATCATCATATCTGAATGGAAAACATACTTACTACCCATGATCATGAGAAAAGAGAATTTGTGTCATCTCAAAATGGAGGATATAGCTTGAATTTTAAAATTAACAAAGCCTCACTCAACACCCAAGTGGAAAATATCTTACTTTACTACATATCATAGAAGAATAGTAATTCGCATCACTACAAGAATCGACAAGAGTCTAATCTTTTCGGAAAAATTTTTTAAAGTAAAAAGCCAAAGTGGAAAAATGGTTTGAATAAGGTTAATTGACTTTTAGTCTTGAGAAAAATGTCAAAGTATGATTAAATTGATTAATGTTTGATTAAGAAAAGATTTCGAAAATGCATGGACCTAAGTCCAAGTTGATTATGAAAGTGGTTCAAGTAAGAAAACAAGAAGAGTTTTTGAAAGGAGGGAGAATATTTTTGAAATTAAAGAAGATAGGAGGAGATGAATGGACTATCTTAAATCATAAATTAAAAGCTAAGGAAAAGAATCATCTAACCAACAAGAAGCCAACAAATCATCTAACCAATAAGAAGCCAACATTTGACATATGAAGTCAATGTAGAGTTCTCATCCTTTGGACTGGAATCAAGCAAGCAAAGATACTAAACCTCTTAGGAATACTAAGCATCAGATGAATTAAGTCTTCACAAAAATTAGAGAGTAACGGTTGTATATAGAGTAATTTTTAATCACACACAAAGCACATAATCAGAATTTCCTACACACAGAGAAAATCAATCCAATGTCTTGGGGTAAACCCCAAGAACTTCAGACAAAATAACAATAGAGTCACAAGATCCCAAGGGTAATCAAAGCTTCCAATCCTAATTCTAAGAGGTCCACAACTCCATTATTCCAAGGATAGTAACCAAATAGTCCAAGTAACCTTAAAGTTTTTTAATGTTCAAGTTGGCTATTTAGTATCTTCAAACAGAAAATAAAGCTCAAGTGAGCAAAATAAATAAAAAACAAGACGTAAAGATAAATGCTCAAATGCGCAAAGATAAAAATAACATAAAGATAAACACTCAAGTGAGCAAAAATAAAAATAACGTAAATATAAATACTAATGTAAATGGTGCATAAAAGTAAAGGCATAAAAATAAAAGAGCATAAAGTAAAAGCACAAAGTAAAAACACAAAGTAAAAAGACAAAATAAAGTCAATTGTTAATGTATCAGATGAAATTAAGATTTCAAATATCATCAACATCATTCATCCATTTTGGTGGATTTGGTTTTTTAACCTATCACCACCTAAGATCCAATGAGGTTGATGAATTTGTCCCAGAATAACACCCAAATCAGGACCAAATAAAAATAATAAAATAATATTCAATAAAACAATATTTAAATGATTAAAAAAAGGGAAATGATTGGTAAAATGCACAAAATATATTAAAACACCAAATAAAAATCTTTAAAAAATATCAAAGGTCAAACATGAGTCAACAAGTGTTGACAAATTTTTTAGAATTTTTTAAAGTCAAAAACTATTTTTAAAATTTAAAGAAATAAGCAAAATAAACCAAAATTGGTAAAAAAAAGTAAAATCACAAATAAAAATAAAATAAGGTCACCAATATTTGTTAAGAGGTCATTGGATCCTTCTAGAATTTTTCCAGAATTTTAAAATAAAAAATAGTATTTTTAAACAATTAAAACAATTCAAATAAAGTGAAAAATCATAAAAAGTACCAAATCATAAAATAAGATTGCGAAAAAATAAAAATCAGAAAGAGAAAAATGAAAAGTATTTTTAAGAATTTTTTTTCCGAAATTTTGAAATTGAAATGATTTTTTTATGAATTTTTGAAGTTTAAAGCAATTAAAATATAAAATCAGAAAATAAAAATAAAACCAAAAATATGTAGACCATTGGATCATATCAAAATGCGTTAGTAATCAAATCCAAGGGATCTGGCGCATTGTGCATGTTATGGATATTAGTGAATAAACCACCAGATCATTTATTTAAAACAGATTTTGAAAAAAATGCATGGCGCAATATGATTGACTGAAGGGAAGACATGTTATCGTCTTCAACCTCTAGCCACGCGTGAATTACAGGTTCCACAAACTGTAAAATTAGAAGCTCAAACCGGTGTCATTCGCTTCGTCTCTTCAAGACGATTCCAATGGTACCCTCGCGAAAAATTTATTTAACTTGTAGCGCAGTCGATTTGAAGAAAACTAGAAAAAAAGTTGGAAAGGTATTTGAAAATTCATGAGTAAAACTCACTTCCAGTTAAAAACTAATGATGCAATCAGTATCAGAGTGATGAGAGCTACATTGTAGCAACAAATTTGGAGAGAATTGATGAAGGAATCTACCTGTTGAAGTTTAAATTCAGAGCTCTGAAACTTGACTTGGCTAGCATGATTCAGGACACTTCAAGGCTTAGTTCTTCTTCTGTTATCTTCGGTGAAGTTCAAGGATGAAGAATCAACAAAGAAATTGAGTCAAAAGATGCTTTATAATTGAATTCAAAGTTGCGGAATTATGAGTTATGGATGGAGTTTAACAAAGGTTCTTTGACTCTCTAAAGCTTGCCAAATGAGTGGGATATCACTCTATATTTATAGGGAAGCAAATGGGATGCTCAAGCATGTGAAATGATGAGATTTTGAGAGAATTCGTGTGAAATTGCAAACATGAAAAGTGTGACTCATATTTGCTCAAAACTCAGCCAAGACTTGCGTTTCAAGGTGCTAATCACTTCTGGAAGATTGTTAAGCATGATTAGAAGTAAAAACGCACAACATTTTTGTGATTAGAGGCCACATTAACCAATTTGCAATCTGATTGTTTTGACAAAATCAGTTTCAAGGTGCCAACTTTGAATCCATGATGCACCCAACTCAAGAGGATTTATCACATGATTCTTGGAGCATTTGAAAGACAATGCCACAATCTTTATAATGTGCCAAGAAAGACATCATTTGGATGCTTGAGCAAAAAGTTATGTCCAATTGAATTTGTGAAAAACACACAGATATTTTGTACTTGGAAAAATTCTAAGTGTTGAACTTCAAAATGACCTATAATGTTCTTCAAAATTAAATGACTTTCCACTCAAAATTTGATCTTGATATCTTAAGACGGCATGAAATAGACCTCTTGAATTGAATTGTGGAATTGAGATCACTCAAAAATCATAAAAATTGAAAAAGTTATGGTCTTTGGAAGATGATGAACAAATTTGAGGAAAATCACAAAAGACCTATAATCTTTTCAATTCTTCAACCACTTTCCAAGCATCTTTGAGTCTTGCACATTGTCATACCTCAAATTTGCCCGTCCTTTATTTCTGCAGTCAAAAATATTTTTAAAATTGGTTTTTATAATATTCTTTGATTCAATTTTACTAACATTTTAACAATAATTTATTTCGCTCATTTAAAAATGTATAATAGTTTATTTCTAATTATTTGTATTTTAAATATCAAATACTTATTCGCTTTCATATACTTTCAATTGGTTTTTTATTTCAAATGAGTAACATAACATAATTTGTAAGGAATGAAGCTTGCAAGTATGGGGTTGTGGGTTCGAATCTCTTATATTTCACTTTTAAACATTTTTTTCTATTTTTGTTACTAATTTTTTTTCATTTTTTAGAGATCAGACTTTGAGTTTTTTTATTGTTTTGGGTAACTTACTTTCTAAGTAATAGAACTATTGTCCATCATATTTTTCATCCACAATTTCGTAATCTTATTATTTCTCTTACTTTCGGTTTATTCCAGGGTTTCTGAATAGAAACTCTGAAAAACAAACCCAAAAACAACACCATCAATCAACAATCATCAACAAATTCCACAATCTCACTCACAAACACATTCTCATAATTTCTTTTCAAAATTTCTTTTCAAAATTATTAGTGTTTTTGTATTTTTGGTCAATGATTACATCTTAGGTCACCCTCCTTTTATTTTTAATTCTTTTTAACTATATGATGAATTTTTGATGGTTCTCTTTTTTATTAATTTATTCATTATTATATTTTTATTTTCTATTTCTTTTTGGTAACAATTTTTAATCATATACATAATTTTTATTCACAACTCCAACACACTTACGAATACTGCATACACATACACACCCCAGAGGATATTTTTTTTACAATTAACAAAGAATCATGTTATTATTTTTATTCACTGTGAATATTCACTTCCATTCACACACTAATTTCTCACATTCTACACATACTACACAAATTCTATGTTATAGTAACAAAACCTGCAAATTACAAAATCAACGACAACAGCCATGGCCACTTCTATTATATGCAACATGTTTGTACAAATTTGTTTTTGCAGAAATTAGAAGAAACACAAAAAGCAGAAAAAGATTTCAAATCGGAAAGTGCTCGTGAATCGTATTCGGCCAACCTTCAACGCGGAAAAGCTCTGACAGGCTTTCCTCCGACCACCGGACAAATCTCCTTCAACTGCACTGCCCTCCACCGGCCATCCACGCGTCAGTTGCGCTGTCGACGACATCCAAGATCGCCTCTGATTCATGACACCGCAGCATGTCAACAAATTCAACCCCATGTCTGTATCGCGACCCAGCTCTGAAGAAAATCTTCTCTAACGCTGTCAACGGCAAATCCGTGGGCTGCTCCCGTCTCGACACCATATCTATCCGTTATTCTTCTTTTCTTTTCTTTTTTATCCGGTGTTTGATGTAGATTTAGTATTGTTTAGTTTTCTATTTTCATTATTTTTCATGACTCTTATTTAGAATATTTGAAGATATAGTAGAGAATGAGAGATAAAACTATTAGAGGGTAATTTAGTATTTATCATTTGTAAATATTATTGATTAGGACCTATGTGACATTCTTATTTGTGTATAAATAGGTGTACTAGGTTTATATTTATAACAATCAATTCCTTCAATCATTAGTGACAGCTTTTAGCATTTATTCTCTTTCTCTCTTCTTCTTTAATTTCATCACCTTGCACCAGGATTGGAACAAGCTTCAATCAGATTCTGGTGTAGTGCCAACACCAGGATTAGTTTCTAAAAGTTCTGAAGACGAGTCAGAGTCAGAAGATGAAGACTCTGAAGATGAGTCAGAATCTCAGGGAGATTCTGATAGTGGATCTGATTCTGATCTAGATTCTGATGATGATCCAGAATCTGGTGGTGATTATACTTCTGGAAGGGAAAACTCTGAAGACATGGGGTCTGGAGAACAAGTTTCCAGAAGCAACTCTGAAGGTGGTAACTCTAAAGGAAATAATTTTGGACAAAGTCCAGAAGTCAGCACAGTTCCAAGTTCTGGAGAAGCTTCAGAACAAGATCAGAGGCCACAGAGAATCAGACGAATACCAAGTAGGTTTGTAGATTTTAGCATGTTGCATGATACTGAAGTAGATTCTGAAGGAGAAATCGTTCAATGTGCCATGCTAGTAGATTCTGAACCAGTGGGTATTGAAGAAGCGCTCAAGAAGAAAGTATGGCTGAATGCCATGAAAGAAGAACTTGAGGCTATTGAAAGAAACAAGACTTGAAAGCTGACAGAACTTCCAAAAGGCAAGAAAGCCATCAGCGTCAGATGGGTTTTCAAGCAGAAGCTAAAGCCAGATGGATCAATTGGCAAACACAAAGCGAGACTAGTGGCCAGAGGTTTTCTTCAGAAACTTGGACTAGATTACTTTGAGGTGTTTGCGCTTGTAGCTAGACACGAAACAATCAGACTGGTGATTGCTTTAGTTGCAAACAGAAATTGACCTTTGATACATCTGGATGTGAAGTCTGCATTTCTGAACGGTCCATTACAGGAAGAAGTTTATGTGTCACAACCTCCTGGATTTGTGAAAAAGAATCAGGAATAGATGGTATACAGGTTAAATAAAGCTCTGTATGGACTGAAGCAAGCGCCCAAAGCTTGGAATTTGAAGATTGATTCGTTTTTCAAGGAACAAGGGTTTCAGAAGTGTGAGATGGAGTATGGTGTTTATGTTCAGCATACTTCAGAAGGTAATATGATTCTGGTTTGTTTGTATGTTGACGACATATTACTCACAGGAAGTTCTGAACAAGAAACAGTTGAGTTCAAGAAAGTTATGATGAATGCGTTTGAGATGACAGATCTTGGAAAAATGAGTTTCTTTCTAGGAATGGAACTTATATACTCTGAGAAAGGAATCATCTTACATCAGAAGAAGTATGAACTGGAGCTTCTGAAGAGATTTGAGCTAACAAATTGCAAGGTTGCTATCACACCTGCTGATACGAATCAGAAGTTGGATTCTGATTCTGATGGAGAGGATGTGGATGTTACAACCTTCAAACAGATGGTTGGTTCTCTGAGGTATTTGTGTAATATCAGACCTGATATTTGTTATGCAGTTGGAATGGTCAGCAGATACATGAGCAAACCAAAGTGGTCTCATTACCAAGCTGCTGTCAGGATTCTGAGGTATATAAAAGGAACTCTGAAATATGGAGTGTTATTTCCTTCTGGAGGAAAGATCAAATCAGAACTTCTGAGTTATTCTGATTCTGATTGGTATGGAGATAGAGTTGACAGAAGAAGTACTTCTGAGTACTTGTTCAAGTTTCTGGAAGGTCCAATTTCTTGGAGTTCCAAGAAACAGCCGGTTGTGGCTCTGTCAACATGTGAAACTGAATACATTGTAGGTGTTGTAGCTGCGTGTCAAGCAGTTTGGCTTCTGAATCTGCTGCATGATCTGAAGGTTGAAGTTGAGGAACCTCTGAAGCTGATGATTGATAATAAGTCTGTAATTAATCTTGCAAATAATTCAGTGCTACATGGAAGAAGCAAGCACATTGAGACGAAGTATCACTTTCTCAGAAGTCAAGTGCAGAAAGGAGTGTTAGAAGTTATGCACTGTAGCACTCAGAAGCAGCTGGCAGATGTTCTGACGAAGGCGATAAAAATAGACCAATTTATTCGTTTGAGAGATGAAATTGGTGTTGTTAACTTCTGATAAGTTACTAAATTACGGGATGGTATTAGAGGATAATTTAGTATTTGTCATTTGTAAATATTATTGATTAGGGCCTATGTGACATTTTTATTTGTGTATAAATAGGTGTATTAGGTTTACATTTATAACAATCAATTCCTTCAATCATTAGTGACAGCTTTTAGCATTTATTCTCTTTCTCTCTTCTTCCTCAATTTCATCACCTTGCACTAACAAAAACTGTGTGTCATTGAAAAGGAGAAAGAGTTTGTATTTTACTTTAAGTGTTATATTAGTTTTAAATTCATGTTCTCCTTTGTTTTGTATGGTCATGACAATTAATGTTAAATATGGACCAAATAATATGTATAACTTGCATTCCTAAACAAAAAGAATCAAAGAGTGATAGCATGATAAGAAAAAGGTATTTACACTTTGTTTGTTATTTGATGTTGCATATATATTACTATCTCTTTTCTTATTTTCCTTTTTATTATTATTTAATGTATTGTCACATGTCTTAATTATATTGGTCAAATTTTGATTCAATTTTTGAAAAAAAGATAAAACAAAGTTTTTGGGTTAAATCATGTGGTGATATTGAAAGTAACGACAGTTATCATGCGTATGATATGCTTTTTTTTTTTTCATTTTTTATATTATTTTTTATTTATTTTATTATTATTATTATTATTGATAGTAAATTTTAGGTTAAGTGATTTTAACTTTTAGATTTAGTATTAACATGTGCTTTAAGCCTATTTAGCTATTATTATATATATTCTATTTTTACTAAATTCTCATCTCTCATGCAACCCTAAATCTAATATCTGAATTTAGGCACTACTATTCATAAGCCTAAGAATTATTAAGCTCAAATAAAATGAATTCTTTACGTTTTTGTTAAAATTAATTTTATTTTTATATTTTATACTAATAACAAACCCGTGCTATCGCACGGGTCTCATCTGGATTCACATTACATTTATAGATTATTAAATTATTAAGTATGTTACCATGTTTTCAGTTGAGTATATGTCTCATGTAAACCATGTTGGCATTTAACTCCATATTTGTAGCAAGCGTCGGTCCTATCAACAAATCACGTCTGCATGAACAAATAGGAAAAATTATATACTTCTTAAAAAAAAACAATGATATTTATGCTCTAAGATATCCGTGCTATCGCACGGGTCCCGTCTAGATTCACAATATTATACGTTGTCAAATCTCATTTGTCAAGTTTGAATATATTTTTTAGTTGATTAACATTCACATAGTTACAAATATAGACTAATAATATGCATCAACTTTTAAATTAAGAAATAAAAAGAACTCTTATATTAATATATTTGACCAAAAGAGTATTAAATCTTTAATGTTAATTTGATTTTATTAAAAAGATTCTACAATTTAGTCAAAAATGAATTCTATACTGAATTAATATAAAACAGTGGCAAAAGAAAGATTTAAAAGATGAACATTAAAATGAACAGTTTACGGTTGATATTTATAGATACGTTCACATTTACCTGTGGATCTATGCCTGTAAAGTCCTTCATTAAATTATATTTGACTAAGAATTAGAATTAGTAAAAAACATTAATTATATATAAGAAAAAAATAGAATAATTTGAAATAGTATATTCTGAAAATAGCAATGAAAAGTCTTTAAAAACGACGTTTAGAAAACCGGTGCATTAGAAATTAATATGAAATTAACAACATTAAATAGTAAGAAACTCGTGCTATCATACGGTTACCGTCTGAATTCACATTATACGTCTCTCACTCTCATTTATCAAATTTGTATATATTTATTCAGTTAATTAACATTTATATAGTTACAAACATAGAAAGCGCATTGAACTCGTGTGTCTATTTATAAAAAAATATTTGTAATTTATTCCGATTTATAATAATAATTGAATAATAAATTGAATTTTTTTCGTTTATAAAAATATTTGTAACTTATTCTAGTTTAAAAAAATTATTGTAACTTATTTCCGTATATAAAAATATTTATATCAACATATAGACTTTTTCCCGTTTACAAGGGACTTGAACCCGTGTGATAATTTATAAAGTAAAATTTAATTTATTCATGTTAAAAATAATTGTTTTAATACTTCAATTTTTATCCTTTATAAAAATATTTGTAATTCTCTTGTATAAAAATAATTGTAACTTATTCCGTTTATAGAAATAATTGTATCATTAAATTTTTACTTTTTATCATTAATTTTTTATGATTACCATTTATCATTAAATTTTCATGACTACCATTTAATATTTTTTATCATGATTACCATTGAAAAGATTCTCATAAATTTTAGTTATTTAAGTAAGTTTTAAAAAATTATAGAATTTCAATTGATTTTATTTTGTTTTATTAAACTTTTTATAAAAATCTAAATTATTTTAAAATATATCAATAGCATTCAAAATTATATAGTTTTTTCTTAAAATACTTTTTGAATGCTATTTAAAATTATATCAATATTATATATTTTATTTTCATTAATTCAATTTAATTGAATTTCAATGAATCGATTAATCTTTTGAAAATGATCTAATTGAATTAATTGATCAATTAACTCTTTGTAAAGTTATCATACGTATAATAGTTTCTTTCA